TCTCTCTCTCTCTCTCTCTCTCTCTCTCTCTCACACACACACACACACACACACACACACACACACACACACACACACACACACACACACACACGTTTAGTGGACTGCTTGACGACGTGCGGCCGCCCTCCGCAATGCTACTTCTCGTTGTCGTTGTGCGTTCCATGCATTCACGTGGTCGCACAATGCGGTACGTACTGCCTTCCCTGCTGCCCTCAATGAGCTTGCTGATTCAGGGACATGTTGTGGTGGAACAGGCACATTCCCAATGCTAGGAATATCTTGGCGCAGACGCATGTGCCGCTCGTCCTCCACATCTCCCCATTTCCGGAGCAGATTACGAATGATGCATGCCGCGTGGACCTCGGATCCGACGGTCTGCTGGTTCGTCACATGTGCACGGTAGAATAACTGAAACTTCTGTTTGAACAACCCAATTCCACGCTCTGCATCCGTCCGAACCACCTTGTGAATATTGTCGAAGATGATGGTCTGAGGTGTAGCTTTCTCTGGCTTGCCGTATGGCCTGATGATCCACGGCAGGTTGGGGTATCCTTTGTCTGCCAACAGGTATTGACCCGGGACACCAGGGACAGATATGCGCTCGTGCCTGAATGGATCTTTAGGAACCTCATTGAACAAACCACCATCCATAGCTCGTTCATACAATGACGAGTTAAGAAGAACCCGCGAGTCGTGAACCGTGCCAAGGAAAACGAATGATAAATCAACTATCCGCAAATCACTATCGAATACCATCTGCGCTACCTGCGAAAATCGTTTCGTGCGTCCCGAGGAAAACTCATCACCATTTCTATTCTTCGGTTTGTCCACGTATATATGTGTGCAGTCTATACAACCTACACAGTTTGGAAATCCGCGAGCCTGGTAAGCCTTCATTGTTCTATTCCTGTCCGCTGGATTCCCAAAGTTGACTTCGTTAGGGAAACACTTTACGATGGCAGCGACCACCTCCCTGACAGCTCGCAGGGCACTCGTCTTGCCCATCCCATAAGCTGATGAACTGTGCTTGTGACTATCTTCGTGTGCCCATCGGTGGATGGCATAAGCCAACACCTGTGCGGGCGGAAGCGGCACCCGGAAACGGGTGACCTGCTTCTCCAGCTCAGGACGGACAGTATCCAGGATTCGATTGAAAGTGGATCGGCGCATTCTCAGCAGAGTCGAATAATAATCGTCATCTGCATTGTCGATAATCTCCAGGTCCCTCCACAAGCCTGGTGCACGCCTCATCACCCACCATCGAGGTGGTCCCCTGGCAATGATGTCGGTTGCTTCTATCAAAGCCGGCCACTCGAACATGATAGACATGGCTTCCAAGTTTAGGGAAGCGAGCATGCCACCCTGCCCTTGAACGTCAGTGTCCCACAACGCTTCCATCGCCTCGTAAGCACCCTCGATTATAAGTTTCACTGCAGCGACAACAGCCATGATGACTTGTCGTCGAAGTCCCCTCTTAATCCGAGCCATCGGACTATCGTTTCCACCGCCCCCCCTCCTATTCGATATACGGACTGATTTCGTGGTCCACGGTATGGTAAATCTCTCTATATGTTTCTGGACCACTGCACCTATATAACAACATGCGAATTGTATAACAGCGTACCGACTACAATGCAGCAATCGCAAAGTAGTGGTTATGAGGCTAGCATTTAGGATATGCCAACATGCATAGATATGGCACTAGATTATGTACTTTCTTCCGTGGGTATACGACATGCATTATCCACATACGTGGAGCATTTTCTGTTATACTGTCTTTAGTCCATATTAATGGAATCCAACTGCTATGTCCAATACCGACGAACCTATAATCAGGATGAACGGCCGATACCTCAGAGCCAATGCGATGAAAGCATTGTTTGGGGGTCACATTATAGAAGAGCGTATCCAACACATGTCATGCAATTGGACGTAAAAAATCCCGATTGTGGCGTGGTCAACATCTGAATTAGTAAACTGTCTGACGTCATAGAAGGTGCAGACACTGTTACGACACCAGACACTCTGACCACAGAGGGCAAGGCTCGGTGATAACGACAGCACAGACTCACAGAGGTGTGTACAGGAGAAGGTGCTAGACGGGGGCCAAGTCCCACTACCAACGTTGGGTTTCCTCAACGCCTTCCTCGTGGGACTTCGCTCCGGGTTTCAAAATGTTGACATAGCCCACCGACCCAACCCACACAGTCCCCCTCGCCCATTTCCTCGCTGCCCGCCCACTAACATCCAGCCACCCTACCATTTCATTGCATGCACACAAAAAATGAAAAAAAAGAAATTAAAAAACAAAGAAAAAAATCGTTATCAATGATGACAATACCAGACAACTGTGCACGTTTGTTAGCAGTGTAAGGTGGTCGGCGGTAAGAACGGGAGTGGTAGCACAATGGTTAGCCCAGGTCCCCAGTGACGGCTGCATACTGAGGCCGCAGCGTTGAAAAATTCCCTGTGTCTATCGTGGAAGTCAAATTTGTTTTCTGTAAATCATTGGAATATCCACGGCCGTGGTTGTAAAAATTAACGGTTTTTTTTTTTTCTCTTTTATTTTGTACTCTCGACTGGACTGATTTTCTGCATCTCTTCTCAGAACACGTCCACATGTAGCAGCACAATCCATTTCGTCTGTGCAGATTGGGCCTAGCCCCTGGTTTAGTAATGTCGACACACCCCTCCCCGACCCACCCACACAGTCCCCCTCGCCCATTTCCTCGCTGCCCGCCCACTAACACCCACCCACCCTACCATTTCATTGCATGCACACAAAAATGAAAAAAAAAATAAAAAATCGTTATCAATGATGACAATACCAGACAACTGTGCACGTTTGTTAGCAGTGTAAGGTGGTCGGCGATAAGAACGGGAGTGGTAGCACAATGGTTAGCGCACGTCCCCAGCGAAGGCTGCATATTGACGACGCAGCGTTGAAAAATTCCCTGTGTTTGTGGATTTCGTTTTCAGTACATCATGGGAGAATCCACGGCCGTGGTTAAAATTACCGTTACGTTGGTTTTTTTTTTTTTTTGTAATTTTTCTTTTATTGTGTACTCTCGACTGGACTGATTTTCTGGCCTGCTGCGTTCCAGAGTCATTTCCTGTCCACGGGGCGAGGTCCCACTTGCACGGATTAAGAGATTCTGGCCGTTGATCTTTGCAATCTACGGTCAATATCGCTTAATTCGTGAAAGTGGGACCTAACCCCGGGTCTGCGTAATTTATAGTTTACGATAATGGACACATCGATTATGAAGTGTGGGAGAGTTTTGGCCATAGCCTCTGCTGCTACTCGATGGAGGGTGGGGGACGATGAGAAAGGGAGGCACAGCTACTGGCAGGTCTCGGTCTTTGTGTTAGCCAGACCCCCACTGGCGGTCCCCTCTACATAGTCTTAGGAGTAGGTAGTGGAATGTAAAGAAACAGAAGTTGAGAGAAGTGTATAGAAAGAAAGAAAGAAAAAAAAAAAGTGTGGCAATCCATTATTTATTGTTACTGGGGGTGCGTCCCCGAGTCATGGTCCCCGAGTCTCTGTGGAAAGGTGCAGGCTTACAAGAGTAACCTGCGGTTTTATTGAATTTAAAACAGGGCAGAAAAAGAAAAAGAAGAAAAAAAAAAAATTCGCTAACGATATCATGGACATGTCGGAGGTTTAAGGTGGCCGGAGGTGAACTCGGGACTCGCACCATTATTATGGCAGGTCATCAGCGACGTCTGCGCACACGGCCCTGTTGCGTTGAAAATACCGAGTGTTTAATGGAGAAGTCAACATCAAATTTAGCCGATGACGGGAACATCCTGGGGCCATCCTGGGGCCACGTTCCACTACAACTGTTATGATCCTCAACGCCTGAATGTGGACGTCATTGAGGCCCATGTGCAGCCTACAAACTAAAGGCCATCATCGCAAGATGCCGGGAACATCCCGGGGGGCAGGTCCCACTTGCAGCGTTCAGTTTACTCAACGTCTGAATCTGGATGCGTTCGTGGAGATGTGCAGTTGTGAAAACTCAACGAGATTTCTGCACATACCCACAGACACGTCCAGATTCAGGCGTTGAGGAAACTGAACACTGCTAGTGGGACCTGGCCCCGGGGCCATGTACCACAAGAATCGTAGACATGTGTGTACCCACGAATGAAGACGTGTTTGCAGATACGTGCATTACTTGGCGCAGATTTTCTAATAATAATAATAATAATAATAATAATAATAATAATAATAATAATAATAATAATAATAATAATCCCCAAAAAAAGAGAATAATAATAATAATAATAATAATAATAATAATAATAATAATAATAATAATAATAATAATAAACACTAATAATAATAATAATACATCCTGCTTCCGTTTCTCCTCGAGTAGGACTAATCTGGACGCCCCCTTAATTGAGCCCCCTTAATTGCGATATGTAGCTATGTTTGGAGGGGTGGTCGTTCAATTGAGTCGGTTGACTTTCATCAACGCCTGAATCTGGACGTGTTTATGGAGATGTGCGGCTGAGGATACTCAACGTCATTTCTACACATTTCCTCGAACACATCCAGATTCAGGCGTTGAGGAAACTCAACCCTGCTAGTGGGACTTGGCCCCCGATTGTGATACATGACTGGGGGGAGGTCCCACTAGCAAAGAGGATTGGGTAAATCGCACGAGCGAAGACGTGTTTCAGCAGAGATGCAGACAATCAGTTCAATCTCTATTATCTACATCTCCACAAAATAGTCCAGGTTGAGGCTTTCAATTAATGCTCTTTCCTGGTGGGACTTGGCCCCTGGGACAATTATCCCCGCAGATACCATACCCTGCCTATCTCATCAACAGGTAAACAACCGCTACCAGCAAGCGCCGATGTGAGCTATAAATTGTCGTTTCATGAAATGATTATCGGTGGAATTAGTCATTTCCGAAGTTCGTATACGAGTCGTCTTCTGCACAGGTTCTCCTGCGTGGCCTGCTTAGTGCGTCTGCACTAGTTCTCATGCTTGGCGTGGTTGGTGCTAGGCAGGGTTAAGTCCGTTATCGCTTGGAATTCCACCAGCGGTAAGGCATCGGAATCGGAAGAAGACTTCCATCTCCACATCTCTCTCTCTCTCTCTCTCTCTCNCTCTCTCTCTCTCTCTCTCTCTCTCTCTCTCTCTCTCTCTCTCGCTCTCTCTCTCTCTCTCTCTCTCTCTCTGTGGTAGTACGAGAACTGTAGTACAACCACTCATTGTGGAGTGCGGACTGCAGTTTGCACGTCGTATCCGTCAGGTGGTGATAAGCGTGTAGGAACTCCGGCTTACCTGAACAATCGGTGTGCTTTCCGAGATTCGGTTACAATGGCGGATTGTCAACAGGGCGGGACATCATCGAGCACAGACACACGAGCAGTTAACGTCGTCACCTGTGCACCTGCTACCAGTGAAATTCCGTCGAAGGCAGATGCTACAAGCGAAGTTCCATCGAAGGCAGACGATAGAAGCGAAGTTCCGTCGAAGCATGATTGTGCAAGCAAAGCTCTGGTCAAGGAAGATGCGAATGTGGAGTCCGGATGCAAACCCAGTGATGGGTTGGAGTTATTAAGCGAAGTTGTTCTCACGACCATTGTCCGCGAACAGAGCTTGGACACCGGACTCCCAGCCAGTGCAGTGACGACTGACAACACCGGACGATGGCCGACACCAGTAATGCAGACTCCCGAGAACACCGTAGCAGTTCCATTTGAGCCATCTCCTCATGCAGTTGTAGTGAAATCGCCAACAGCATCACCGGAAATTCTGGAGATATCGGCATCAGACTTCTTCCGATCGGTGGATAACCAGCGCGCCGAGAGACGTCGCAGCGGTAGGGTGGCGTCACATATTCGCCACTCCCTTCTCAGGACTTTCACTGACGTAGCAGGTCCAGCTGTAGATGCGGTCATATTTAGCGGATGTGCAAGTAGCTGTCCATCCGGACGTGTGGTCCGTCCCATGGGCCCACTACCGATGACCAGCATGTCGCCGTATGCAGTCGCGGGTGTAGAGGATAGTGAATCAGGAGACACGGAGCTAGTTAACGTCGACAACTTTATTGACATGACCGTCGGGGTCGATTCGAAATCAGGAAGTCAGTCGTCCGATAGCGACGCCGATGGAGCGCCACACGGCACACAACTGGAAGACAGTCAAGAATGGGGCATTGAGGAGACACTGGCGTTGATACAGGCACGAGTAAGCAAGGACAACAATGGGGCGCAGAGGCTTACAAAAGGGGACTGGAATGTGGTGGAGGCGATGATGCATTCCAAAGGATTCGACCGCTCAATTGCACAATGTAAGCTCCGCTGGAAGAACGTATGGTCAACGTACAAGGAAATATGGGATCACGAGACGCGATCGGGCAGGCCAAGTTATTGGGCTATGTCTGCGCGGGACCGGGCGCTGCACGGCTTCACCATACACCTCGCACGCGAGTGGTATGATGAACTGAATGCCTACAATGAAAGACTCCTTGGAGAATTGCAACGGCTTATCACCACAGCTCCGCCAATGCACCATGAATCTCCAGCGGCCGCGGGGGGAGCGAGAGTTGCCGGCAATGCGAGAGCAGGTACCAGTGTCCGAACGACTTCCGGCGCACCTCCTCCCATGGACATCGCAACCGTACCTCGGCTTGTGGAGCACAACTTGCGACAGATAGTTGGTGCTCGTCCACCCAGCAGACGTGGTGGAAACCGCGGGTCGGCGAAGCGGCAGCGCACGATCCTCAACGCCGTTGAAAGGTCATTGATTCGTATATGCGAGACCGCCATCAAGTGTTCGAATAAGACTGCGGAGGCTTGGGAGCGGCATACAGAGAAGATGTTGTCCGGCCAGAAGGATTGTGCTGTTTTTCTCGCTGACAAGATGGATCGGGGATGGAAGCTTATAGGTGACGTTGTGAGAGAAACGGCGACGCAGATGGCAGAGGACACATCAAGTGCGGACTCCGAAGAATTCGTGGCTCGATGCCGAAGGTCACCGTGACTCCTCCCGTATCTGCCAACATGACAAGGGTCGGAGGACAACGTCACATGTGAAACCAGCGGGTACCTAAACCAAGTAATGGGATCAACACCGTCCGGTTAAGGCATCCAATGTGTGTGTGTGTGTGTGTGTGTGTGTGTGTGTGTGTGTGTGTGTGTGTGTGTGTGTGTGTTTTGTTTATTACTATTCGTATTATATGTGTTTCTTGACCGGTCATGAGTGACGCACGGAATTCAATGCCGCTGAGCGCCGTTGCGAATAGTAGTAAGCGTCCAGGAACAGTGATCTGCATGTACAACTGCATTTTGGCATGCAGGATTGAGGACATCGGAAATGTATGGTGGTGGTGTTGGGGGTGTGGTGTAGTGATGGAAGCTCGGTCTCAGTTTGTCAGCAGTAGGAGGCAAGCAGTTTATGTCACTTTATGACATGTGTGGTTGGAGGGAGTGTTATCGTGGCCAGGAACCGTGGTAGGCTCCACTGTCCGCTGGTAGGACCTCTCTCAGGTGTGTAGCTTTTTAGCATCCAGGGTTAGCCTATAGCAATGGCTTTTCCACAAGCCGGTGCAAGCTACTTTATTGGTAGGAGGCCACTGTACATGAGTAGGTAAGGTAGGCAGCAGTTTGTGTTAGGCCAGGGGCCAAGGCCCAGTAGCAGGGTTGAGTTTCCTTAACTCCTGCTTCTGGACGTGTCTGTGGAGATATGCAGTTGAGGATCCTTAACTCCTGACTCTGCACGTCTCCACAAACACGACCAGATTCAGGCGTTGAGGACATCCAGCCTACGCTAGTGGGACTTCGCCCCCGTACCGGAATGCAGCAACAGGGTTGGAGGTCTGTTGTAAAAGACCTTGCCTTGCTTCCAGTAAGTTCGTTTGGGAATAGTTGTGAGAACCCCGGCGTATAGTCTGATTGTATCACTCACGTCTTGAATTTTGGAAGGGAAAAAAAAAAAAAAAAAAAAAAAGAAGGAAGAAACAAAGGAGGAATCGCTGAACCACAGAGGTGGTGGTTCTGCGAGGCTGTCCTCAGCTGTGACCAAATGCCTACTATTTTCATTCCTTTTTTTATCCCACCACCTGCACAGTCAATCCCCTGATGTTAAGGGCAATCAATGCTCGCAGGTCGACACAGTAAAGTTCTACTACTGTGCATCTTGTTTCATATCACCACCTGCGCAGTCAATCCCCTGGTGACAAGGGCAATCAATGCTGGCAGGGCGACACAGTAAAGTTCAGTCTGAATCATGTACAAAGGGACGCTGGACCCGTTTTCCAGCAGGTGCCGCTAATTGTGACAGGATCCATCGTGTAGTGATTGATATGCCATACACGTGGGTGATGTGTGTTGTTGTTGTTGTTGTTGTTGTTGTTGTTGTTGTTGTTGTTGTTGTTGTTGTTGTTGTTGTTGTTGTTTTCAGTTGTTGTTGTTTTTTTATTTCGGAATGAAACAGCATCTGCTTTGCATGCTCCAGTATGAGGATGACGTACGTATATCTTGCCTGGCTGCACTAATATAGACTTTTACCGAAAAAATATATATATATATCGTCAAATAGAACTGCCCGATAAACCGTAGGCAGAGAGGGAGAAGAGGACAACAAACGAGGGGCTGTGACAAACTGTTTCGTCGGAGTTTCACCGACTCGTCAGGAGGCTGAACCCTCAACAGTCTGTAGAATCCCCTCACTGATTACACTGTAAGTGATAATCCACCTTAACCAAAATCAAAGTACACTATCACTCACCCACACCAGATGGAAAACTCTACAGACTGTCGGTTCACACATATATATATATCGTATGCCTACGGTTTACCGGGCAGTTCTATTTGACAATATATATACATATATATATATATATATATATATCGTCACAAACAGAACTGCCCGGTACTGGTCAGAGAACCGTGACTGGTCAGCATTTCTGCATCTTGTTTATTTGTTTGTTTGTTTGTTTGTTTGTAAAGAATTACCAGGGGCCATGTCCCACTTGCACCATTGCGTTGAGCTACCTCAACGGTCCGACAGCTTTTCAATCATTTTTATATTCTGTAAAAAAGAAGAATGCATTTGTTTTTTGTTTTTATTTTTCCCGCCTACACATTTCTTTGGAATTGTCTTTTTCTTTCCCGTGGAGCAAATCTATCCGTGTGTGTGTGTGAGAGTGTGGGCCTTGCCACACCTATCTCGCCACACCTATCCCAAAACCACCCATTTGGAGAGCAAATGCATAGCCACACCAACTCTCAAAAATCCGTGTCAGAAAAATTTTCGAGAGTGGCCAGAACTCGGTTTTCAGGAGTGCTCGTCAACTGTGGTCGCCTGCAAAGTTGCCACTTTAGAGAGTGGTCCGCCACACCTCCAATTGCGGCCTGAATTTCGAGAGTGTGCTGCGACGGAGTTGATTCGAGAGACTCTCGAACGGAGGCCTCTGTCCACTACTCACCACATGCACAAAAGACAAAAAATATGGCCGTGTATCTTTCCATGGTCTAGGAGAAAATTCATTCTCATTTTGCACATTCGGTGAGTAGTGGAGCAAGGCCCTTGCACAGCCACACTGCACTCTCGAAAAACACAGGTCTTTTCCGTCACATTTCCGACATAGTGGACAGTGTCCCCTTCCAGAGCGCAGTGCGGCAGTAAGGCCTCTCGAACCGGTTCTCCCCATTTCCAGAGTTCGAGAGTGTAGCGGACCCACCAGGTGTGGTGCTCCGCTACTGACAGAGATGGAGATGGAGAAAGAAAGGGGGGAGCGAGATGGCACAACGCAGCTCCCCACGCAAGATTCCAACGCACGTACTCCAAAATGTGCAAGTAAAGAATGAGACTGAAAACAGACAATGGCTGGGGTATACCCCAGCGGACTGACGGGACTGGACTAGACTGGCTGGTACCGACAGAGGTACCGGCCTGGACTGGCCTACCCCGAATACAACACAGGACTGTGAGAACAGGCCAAGGGGCTGGTCTCACAGGCCAACCCGAGGTCCGCTACACGATCCTCGGCCTGTGATGGATCGCCTAGATACAAACATGCTTCCGCCAAGAAGCGGAACTCTACCAAAGAAAAGAAAACTTGAGTAGTCTAGGATGCGGAGCTTGCTGAGTCCATGCGATGCAACCTAGGATATAAAATGTCACAAAACAGCAATGTCACAGCTAACAGCCTAAGTGAAAGCAGAAGCAACTAACTAGCATACATGTCCTAGGAAAGCAAAAGCAACTAACTAGCAGACATGTCCTAGGAAAGCAGAAAGTAGTGACAACTAGATCCTAGAATGTTGGAGGCACTAGCCTCAGTCTGGTAACAACTGACTAGTGTATAAGTCCTAAGAACAGCAAAAGCAAAACAGCTAAATCCTAGAAATGTCGGAGGCAGTAGCCTCAGTCTGAGAGCAACAAAGCAATCAACAAGACAACCATATGTCACATGAGAAGTGTGTCGCAAACCAAAGGGTGGGATGGTCTCTGAGGGTGGCCAATGCAGCCTAGGGGTCGAAAACTCCTAAGGGCATCCACACAAGATAACAGGGAGACACATGTCATCAGGCTCAATGAGGGTAGGGAACTGAGAGAGAACAGAACCAATGACCCTAACAGGTAGACCATCAGGGCGGGTAATGCTCGACTAAGGGGTGACCGCAATGGAGGGTCGACCATGCAAAGGAACAGGGGAGCCTGGTATACTGGGCGCACCTAGATGAAGCATGCGGGGCTGCCTAACTAGGGCGTGAGGGCCAGCGAAGGGTAGAAAGACGATGGGTGAGAGAATCATGCAAATGACTCCTAAAGTGAGGGAAGTCGGAGCTAGATCCGTAAGATGGGAAGCCAAGGCAACGCTACGGTCCCGATGCCTATGCGTATACCAAGGGAGAGCCCAACTCAGAGGAACCCGGCTAAAGGGAGACTATCATGCGACACAAGCAGGGTACTGTACAGGGTAGAGTGGTAAGAGAGTGGCGATGTCTGAAGTAGGATGAGTTGATCGTGATGAAGTCCATGAAGCTGCCGATGACGTCCACGATGAGAAGTCTGGAATGCCGTCGAGGAAGAGTCGCAGCGTCGACGAGCTGAAGTTGCAAAACTGATGTGGATGGAGTACTGAGAAGTCAAAGACGTGGGAAGGTAAGTCAGAGTCAATCGTCGTATCGAGCAGGACGACGACGAATGTGCTGCGGACGCTCAGAAGCATCCGGCTGCAACTGAAGGTCTGCCTCAGATGGAGCAGGCTCGACATCAGTGGTCTCCTTAGCCGGAGGAGAAGGAGGAGGGTCAGTGGGCTGAGGAGGAGCAGTGAACCCAGCACGACAAGCACGGTCATAGGCACGCACCAACATGCGAGCGTGCTGCAAGTGCTCGAGGGGCTCCGAGGTAGCCTCCTCATTAGGGTAACCCTTCCAACGTACGAGATACTCGACGTGGGGAGGGTTGTCGTCGGTGACTCGGCGACCAATGATGTCTGAAACGAGGAACTCCTCGTGACCGTCCACCATGATGGGTGGAGGGCGCTCGTATGGTCGTCCGGCGAAACGCTCAGACGGTCTGCGGTAAGGACGCAGTAATGAGACGTGGTAGACATCGTGCACACGAGCCTGGCATAGGTAGTCGGGCAGCTTTACACGGAGGCTGACCAGGCTAGAAGCCGTATCAGAACCGACGGCCTAGAGGATGCGGTATGGACCAAAGAAGCGACGCCGAAACTTGCGAAGCGTATCCGCTTCGAGTTGTAAGTGGCGGGCGTCGATAAGCACATCATCACCGACTTTGAATAGATGATCCATCCTCGATCGGTTCGCACGTGCTCCCATGCGAGTCTGGGAAGTGGCTATGTGCTCATGTGCGGTCTTTATGATCGACGTCATGTGTGCAACCCAATCATCCAGCGCGGGACAACTCGTGTCGGGGTGCATCTGTGACGGTCGAAGGAAGTCCGCGGGAACACGAGGATGATAGTCGAGGTCGCAATAGTAAGGCGACATCCCCGTGGCTGGCGAGACGGCGTGGTTGTAGGCTATCTCCGCGTGGGCAAGATGGAGGTCCCACTGCTGGTCGTCACGAATAATCTTTCGGAGAA